TGGGGGGCGCACCCAGCCCTCCAGGGGCTGGTTCCCTACCCCTTGCGGCCCATGTGGCCCTTCGAGAGGAGTGGCCCCTCCCGGTGGACCCCCGGAACCTCTCCGGTGGCCCCGGTACAATACCGATATGCCCCCGAAACTTTCGGGTGTCCGCATGACAACTTCCCATATATAAATCTTCACCTCCGTACCATTCCGAAACTCCTCATGACGTCCGAGATCTCATCCGGGACTCCGAACAACATTCGGTAATCACATACAAGTCTTCCTAATAACCCTAGCGTCACCGAACCTTAAGTGTGTAGACCCTACGGGTTCGGGAGACATGTAGACATGACCGAGACGACTCTCGGGCAATAACCAACAGCGGGATCTGGATACCCATGTTGGCTCCCACATGCTCCTCGATGATTTCATCGGATGAACCACGATGTCGAGGATTAAACAACCCCGTATGCAATTCCCTTTGTCAATCGGTACGTTACTTGCCCGAGACTCGATCGTCGGTATCCCAGTACCTTGTTCAGTCTCGTTACTGGCAAGTCACTTTACTCGTACCGTAATGCATGATCCCGTGACCAACCACTTGTTCACTTTGAGCTCATTATGATGATGCATTACCGAGTGAGCCCAGAGATACCTCTCCGTCATACGGAGTGATAAATCTCAGTCTCGATCCGTGTCAACCCAACAGACACTTTCAGAGATACCAGTAGTGCACCTTTATAGTCATCCAGTTACGTTGTGACGTTTGATACACCCAAAGCACTCCTACGGTATCCGGGAGTTACACGATCTCATGGTCTAAGGAAGAGATACTTGACATTGGAAAAGCTCTAGCAAACGAACTACACGATCTTGTGCTATGCTTAGGATTGGGTCTAGTCCATCACATCATTCTCCTAATGATGTGATCCCGTTATCAACGACATCCAATGTCCATAGCCAGGAAACCATGACTATATGTTGATCAACGAGCTAGTCAACTAGAGGCTCACTAGGGACATATTGTGGTCTATGTATTCACACGTGTATTACGATTTCCGGATAATACAGTTATAGCATGAATAAAATACAATTATCATGAACAAGGAAATATAATAATACTTTTATTATTGCCTCTAGGGCATATTTCCAACACTGGTTGCACTGTTTTGTATCACGCGTATTTCCCTGCCTAAAATTTCGTCTGTTTGCGCCTATTTTCTCGCCCTCATTTGTCGTCTGAGCCTATAAAACGAGACACTGAGGCTCTCGTCATCCTCGTCCAGCACTTCTCGAAATCGCCACTGCGGAAAGTGTGTAACACTTTTTTCCAGTCGGGATGAGTTTGCCTTGCTCGGATCCAAGCATTAGGCCGAGGAAAATGAAGAATGCAAGTTTGCCTTCGGGGGTGGCAATCCTGTGTTGTTGGTGTGGAGATCTTTACAAGGTGAAGGAGGTAACAAATTTTTCAGATTGGTTGGGCATGAAGTTTTATGTGCACCAATTATGAGGAAGATCCACCCGTAGCTAGTTCAAAATACGACAAGCCTCCGGTATGCTTTAACCATCACAAATAGATATATTGTTGGTTTTTTGGTGATTCTTTATTAACATTGTGCATGTACTATCATTGGATTGACACGGAGATGCCGACTTAGGCAGTCACTGAGATTCGTGAAAGAAGTCGTCGTGCATGGGATAGTTTCTACGCAGAAGAGCAACGCGAAAAGGCGGAAGCAGATGGGAAAGTAGAGCAAGAGAGGGAGTTAAAAGAATACTATGCCGAGCAAAAGGGTCACTTTCAGGATTTATTGAAGAAAAACAGGAAAGAAGCTCGTCGTATGAAGGAGCAGGAACGACAACGAAAGGAGGCTCGTGAGGCAAAGAGACAGAGAAAGAAAGAAATGGATCGTGAGGCAAAGGCAGCAGAAGAAGCTGGCGATGGAGAAGGAAAATATCCACGCCGGACTCAATAGATACCCGTGTTAGCATTTTAAATTTCGCAATCATTTGTATCTTAATTTCGGTAGTTTAATGTAGCTTTATTTCACTAGTTAAATGTAGCTTTATTTAAATAGTGTTGTATCGTCGTAATGAACAAATTATAGTTTTGGCATAAAATGTGGCATTTTCTTGTCGCCATTTTCTTTCCCGCATAAATTATTTCCGTCATTTTCTTTCCCGCCAATTTTTCCTTCTTTCCCCACCCGAAAACACTTTAATAATACAAACTAATTATCGAACGTTGTGCAACAACTACAACATCAAATTAAGATAGAACATAATGCCCTACAATAAGACAGTACAAACTAATAATGCAAGTGCATCTGAATTAAACGGTATAACTGAACTTAAAAACTAAAAATACAACTTAAAAACTACATGAAGGCATCATCGTCATCCTTCGTCGATGCAGAACTCCTACCCTTCGAGGACGCAGAACTCTTGCCCTTGAATGATGCATAACTCTTGCCCTTCGACGATGCTGTGCTTTACTCTTTGAATCTCGCCCAACCAAGCATGTACAATGGTGGAGCTCAACACAATGTTTTTAGAAGGGTTTTTACCACTTTTGCTACTAGTTGTGCCACGCTGCTAATTTTTGCCACTAAAATTTTTTCTTACTCAGAAATGCCACTGTTCCATTAGAAACACACTCATAAATTATACTCCCTTCATTTTTATATACAAGGCCACAAACTCAAATTACAGGTACCAATGTAAAATTTAATGTCTGCTTTAAAAGTCAGCTTTTCTTTTCGTTTACTGAGATGATTAATACCCCATATGCATGCAAGAAAACTGAGTGGAGGAAGTAGCTGACTATCATTATGACTGCATGCATGCAACTATTAAACATGTTGCTAGTACGAGAAAATATCATTAATTTTACCTCGATTAGGCCAACCATAGTGGGAGTAACTTAGGTAGTAACATAACACATCCCCCAAAAAATTGCTTATGTGGCATAGAGTTAATGAGAAAAAAGATGCTTGTGGTAACATAATATGTTACTGTAACCTAACGCACCCCAAGGTAAAATGAGTCTATATCTCAACTAATGAAGGCTTGCATGTTATCATCCATATGTTACTACCCACTATGAAGGTAGTAACATAATCTAGTAACATCTGCATGTTACTAGTCTAAGTTATTCCCCACTATGACCAGCCTTACTATTGGTGGCCTTGTATAGATGCAAAACGTATATTTCATTATGGCCTTGTATATAAAAATGGAGGGAGTATATCACAAAAATTATACTCCCTTTATAGAAAAGATATAAGACGATTTAGATCACTAAAATGTATGTACCGAGTAGTCTTCAGTGGTATAATCTTTAGTGAAATTATTGGTCAAAGTTTAAGCACAGAAAACAAGGGTCGCCATGTAAACAGGGGCAGAGGGAGTAGTAAGATTCTTATGTTCTTCAGTCCGCACTGTGTCTGAATATCTGATAAACAACATGCACAAATCCTCTGATAGATGCTACTCCCTTCATTCACAAATATAAGATGTTTTGCGTATTTTTTCAATATGGACTACATACAGACTAAAATGAGTGAGCAAACACACTAAAACGTGTCTATATGCGTCCGATTCAGATATTTTTTAGAACATCTTATATTTATGGACAGAGGGAGTTGGTAAACAGGACAAGAAAAGAATGCACTGCTAACTCTGCAGCGAGCCTTAATTATGGAGAGATGAGCCACTTGCTATATTTTTTGCCCTCAATCAGAGAGGAAAATCATTAACCACATGCACACTGATCAATGATAGAGTGCAGCATCTAGGAAACAATAATGGTACAGTGCAAGTGTGCAACTAGCATCAGCACATCATCAGCCACGTACTAAACAAAACCCAGTACCAGAAAACAAATGTGATTCTTAACACCAATTATTCAACCCCCGCAGGAAAAAACACCAATTATATACAGTATTCAACTAAAATATTAAAAAATGGTTAATACATGGTTCGGTTGCAAAGACCACGTCCACACGGCACAAGCACTTCCACTACCACAAGCACCAGAGCCGGCCTTCCACTTGCAGTGCCAGAGCTCACACGCTACCCAGTCTACTTTGAACCGCTTCAGATGAAAATCACAGTCCATGGTATACAAAATAACAGTGCGCCAGTGGAGCCAGGAGAATGGAAAACAATAGCAAATGTATCCATCAGCCGAAGCTCGTACGCGTCATAACTGGTAAGGAAGTTCATGCTTCAGGTCAAGAGGATGGAACAGAAAACAGATACCCAGCACTCCAGCAGGCCAACCATCTACCCCGTCCATTAAGCAACATGATTGCACTTCTTCTTGTCCTCCACTTGCGTTTGTCCACACACTGATTGAGACTCCGATCTTTGCTTTGGATAGCAAGCACCTTTCGGAAATGATCTCCCCATGCACCATCTGGCCGGCTGAATATTTTGCATATCTTTACCAACTGTTTTTCAAAAGACGGCTTTTCCTGTTCACCAAAAGTCAAAGGATGTAGGTAAAGGTTAGATTTGTTTAGTGAAACCGGTAAAACCAGTGATATCAGGGCAAGTAAAGTAAGGCATGCTGTAAAAATTCATCAAGGGTTGAGGCTAGATTTGTTTAGTGAAGTCGGCAAGAGAAGTGATGCCAGGGCAAGAGAAGTAAGAATTCATCAAAGATCGAGTCAAGGATGATTAGAAAATCCACAGTGCAGTTTTTGTTTTCTGTACGGAAGATTGGGCAGTTGACTTGTCAGTTTTTTACAGCATGCAACCGATAGTGAATCACTGAAACATCAGTGTGAACTAGGAAGCTGCCTGGTGGGCTGGGGGCAATTGTGTAAAATCTAGTTTTCTTGACCCAATTTTTCGTGGTGACTCCGACTACGAGGAACAGGACAAATGGGAGCAAGATCTGCTTCTTTCTTTCCCATCATGCTCTTTCATGGTTAGACCACCATTGATGCTTTATACAGTCAGGGGACAACATAACCTCTAAGTTCCCATGCTAGTTTCACCAGATAACCATGCAGACACTCCATTTTTCCAACAAGACTTACAGCAAGATATTGCACATACCTTCCCTTGTCTTTGCTCTTGTGCTGCTGATTTGCTTGGCCTCCCCTAGCAGTTCCTGCACGGAGCAGGAGCAGGGCTTCCTTCTCCAGTTCCTCGGCGGGCTCTCACAAGATGGTGGCCTCGCTGCCTCATGGCAGAATGGCTCGGATTGCTGCCAGTGGGAAGGGATCACCTGCAGCACAGATGGGATTGTTACAGATGTCCTGCTGGCTTCTAGGAGTCTTCAGGGGCACATCACACCTTCTCTTGGGAACCTCACTGGATTGCTGCGCCTCAACCTGTCAAACAATCTGCTATCTGGTGGTCTACCGCAGGAACTGGTATCCTCCAGCAGCATCCTCATTGTAGACGTCAGCTTTAACCGTCTCGGAGAAGACCTGCACAAGTTGTCATCCACTCATGCCCGGCCACTGAAGGTACTGAACATCTCGAGCAATTTGTTTACAGGACAGTTTCCGTCCTCCACATGGCAGGGGATGAAAAATCTGGTTGCATTCAATGCCAGCAACAACAGCTTTACTGGGCAGCTACCAACTCATTTCTGCGCCAGCTCGCCATCCTTGGCAGTGCTTGAACTCTGCTACAATCAATTCAGAGGGAGCATTCCCCCTGAACTTGGTAGCTGCTCCATGCTCAGAGTGCTCAAGGTTGGCCACAACAACCTCAGTGGGACTCTCCCAGATGAACTCTTCAATGCTACCTTGTTAGAATACGTCTCCTTCCCCGGGAACAGGTTAGAAGGAAAGCTTCAAGGCTCACATATTGTCAAACTCAGTAATCTGGGTACTCTTCATCTTGGAGAGAACAACATCAGTGGCGAGATTCCGGAGTCTATAGGTCATCTCAAGAGATTGGAGGAACTCCATTTAAACAACAACCTCATGTATGGGGAGTTGCCATCGAGTCTGACCAACTGCACAAATCTCATAAGCATTGACTTCAAGAACAACAATTTCAGTGGAGAACTCGCTAAGGTCAATTTCTCCAACCTACCCAATCTAAAATCTTTAGATCTTATGTACAACAGCTTCAGTGGCCATATTCCGGAAAGCATCTACTCATGTAGTAATCTAACTGCACTGCGGCTATCTTCCAATAAGTTCGATGGCCAGCTGTCAGAAAAAATAGGCAATCTGAAGTCCCTCTCATTCCTATCACTTGCTAACAACAGTCTTACAAATATTACAAGAGCACTTCATATACTTAGGAGCTCCAAGAATCTCACTACCCTTCTTATTGGGCTCAACTTCGTGAATGAGACCATGCCAGATGATGACAACATTGCTGGTTTTGAGAATCTTCAGGTTTTTAGTGTCGGAGGATGCAAATTATTTGGACAAATTCCTCATTGGATATCGAAGCTAGCAAATTTACAAATATTAATCTTGTCTTACAATCAACTTACTGATTCAATACCAGTCTGGATCAAAACCCTAAGCAACCTGTTCTATCTGGACATATCAAATAACGGCCTCACAGGGGGCATTCCAACAGCCCTTATGGAGATGCCAATGCTAGAGTCAAAGAAGAGTGAAGCCCGTTTAGACCCAAGGGTATTTGAGTTACCTGTTTATAAAGGTCCATCACTACAATACCGTGTACCTATTGCTTTGCGCAATGTACTGGATCTAAGCAACAACAAATTCACCGGTGAAATCCCCCTCGAGATTGGTCAGTTGAAAGCCCTCCTTTCACTCAATTTCAGCTTCAACAACTTGACAGGACAAATCCCACAATCAACATGCAATCTCACAAACCTACAGCTGTTAGACTTGTCGAGCAACAATCTAACAGGTGGAATACCAGGTGCATTGAATAGCCTACACTTCCTTTCAGCATTCAACATTTCAAACAATGGCCTGGAAGGGCCTATTCCATCTGGAGGCCAGTTTAATACATTTCAGAATTCTAGTTTCATTGGGAATCCAAAGCTGTGTGGCCCTACTCTCACTCACGAATGTGGATCAGATTCAATACCTCCATCCACCAGAAAAAAACTAGATAAGAAGGCTGTTTTTGCAATTGCGTTTGGCGTGTTCTTCGGAGGCATTGCTATTCTTTTGTTGCTGGTGTGTCTCCTTGTCTCAATCAAGAAGGGTCATATGGCAAAACATAGAAGGGAGAGCAATGGAGATGTTGAAGCAACTTCATTCTACTCCAGTTCAGAGGAAACATTAGTGGTCATGCGGACGCCACAAGGCAAGGGAGAAGAAAACAAGCTCAAATTCACTGACATTTTGAAAGCCACGAACAACTTTGACAAGGCAAATGTCGTTGGATGTGGAGGTTATGGATTAGTCTACAAGGCAGTGTTGTCTGATGGCTCCAAGCTGGCAATCAAAAAGCTCAATGGTGAAATGTGTCTAATGGATAGGGAGTTCAGTGCAGAGGTTGATGCACTCTCCAGGGCACAACATGCAAATCTTGTACCACTGTGGGGTTACTGCGTCCAGGGAAACTCAAGGTTTCTCATATATTCCTACATGGAGAACGGAAGCCTGGATGATTGGCTTCATAACAGGGATGATGATGCTAGCTCATTTCTTGACTGGCCGACTCGTCTCAAGATCGCACAAGGAGCAAGCCTGGGACTTTCTTATATCCATGAAGTCTGCGACCCTCAAATTGTCCACCGGGACATCAAATCCAGTAACATCCTACTGGACAATGAATTTAAAGCTTACGTTGCAGATTTTGGGCTAGCCAGATTGATCCTCCCCAACCAAACTCATGTCACAACTGAACTGGTCGGTACTATGGGTTACATTCCCCCCGAGTATGGGCAAGCATGGGTTGCTACACTGAGAGGTGATATGTACAGTTTCGGAGTAGTACTGCTTGAGCTGCTCACTGGAATGCGACCTGTTTCAATCCTATCAACGTCAAAAGAACTTGTCCCATGGGTGCTGGAGATGAGGTCCGAGGGGAAGGAGGTTGAGGTCCTGGATCCAACACTTCGAGGCACAGGATTTGAAGATCAAATGTTAAAGGTGCTTGAAGCTGCTTCCAAATGTGTCGACGGCAATCAATTCATGAGGCCAACCATCATGGAAGTAGTCTCCTGCCTGGCCAGTATAGATGCTGACCCGCAGATGTGCGCAAAGATCGGCCAACATACAATGAACCACACATGATAGATAATCTTGCAGTTTTGTGCATGATGTACATGTAACTTTCTTAGTTTCAGTAGAACTACTACTTCTGAATAATCAGTTTGTTTTGTACTTTTGCACAGAGCCGAACAAGTTGCCATCTTGAGCTTTACGTGTTTCATTAAGGAAAGATTTTGGTATTCATCTTCCTTCAGATCTTTTTTGCGAGGACCTCTAGATGTTTCTGTGTGTATTATATATTTTCGTGCAGAATGTACATGTAACTTTCTTAGTTTCATAGAATTACTACTTCTGATAATCTTAGAGATTGTTTTGTACTTTGTACAGAGCCTCACAGGTTGCCATTTTCATCTTTACGTGTTTCTTCAAGAAAAGATATTTATAAAATCGAAAAATGTATTTGGCAACTGTGTGGCAGATTGCGAAACTGCCACACGCATCCAGCACCGTCAGTTCCCTCCCGATCTCCTTCCTTTCCCGCACGTCCTCTCGATTTCTTTCCTTTCCCGCACGCCTCCCGATCTCCTTCCTTTCCCGCAGACCTTCCCCGATTTCTTTCCTTTCACGCACGCCCTCCCCGATTTTATCAGGCACACCCGCTCGTGCCTTCCTAATTTTCGTAATCGTCAATTATGGCCCACGCGCCTTCTCGATTTTCAGCAAAAATAATGCTTGGACTAGGATTTGATCTCCGTTCTGCAGGTAATCAACAAAGGGAGCTAACCACCTCACCTATAACACTCATTGTTGAGCAAGCTAAGGGAAATATTGTTTTTGACATGTTCATGGTAACTTTGATCATTGGGAATAAATTTGTTGAACCCGCCCCCCGTAATTTCTGTAAATAGCACGATAACATTCACGCCATAGACCTGATAATTTAGATACACACATCGTGGTAACTTTAACCATTGGGGAAGACAAATGTGAAAAGATACCCGATAATTTATGTGTAAATAGATGGTAATATACGCAGCGCACATCTGATAACTGAGGTAGAAACACCATGGTAACTTTGACCATAGGGATTTTTTTTTTGAAAAGATACTCCGGCATCCTCTGTGTAAATAGCACGGTAGTATACCTCCCTCCCCTGGTATTTTTATGTGTAAATAGCATGAAAACATACGCACTGCGATAACAAAACACCATGATAAGTTTTTGACCCGTGGGGGCAGGGGGTTTGCTAAAACATACCCCTGATAAATTTTGTGTAAATAACATGATATTTTAAGCACTATGGGCTTGATAGGTTACCTAGAATCACCACGATAACTTTTTGTCCCCGGAAAAAGTTGTTCAAAACATCCTCAATATTTTTTGTGTAAATAACATGATAATATAAGCACCGCATAACCGATAACTTGCAATATAAACATGATGGTAACTTTTTTATCAAAGGAAACTAACTTAAAAACATACACTCGCCTCGCGCGTGGGCCTCTTGGATGAACAGAACGCATCGCGTGCCACGAGAAAGTCACATAATATTTAGTGTCATGAGGGGCACACGTGCTATAGGCGTGATAAGTTACGCAAAAACTTCGTGGTAATTTTTGACCTATGGAAAAAGCCACCGAAACACACCCAGGTTTTTAGGTGCAAGCAGTACCATGATAATATACGAACTGTAGACCCGGTAACTCATGTACAATCCCTCATGATAACTTTGACCAGGGGGAGGTTGATGTACATATACCCTGATAGCTTATGTGTAAGTATCACGGTATTTTACACATCGAAGACCTTATAACTTGTGTACAAAACACAGTGGTAACTTGAAGGGATGTAGTTGTTGAAGCATAGATAGCTGGTACATTCTATGTAAATAGCACGGTAAGTTATGCAACACAGGCCTGATAACTTGCATACAAATACCATGGTAACTTTGTCCTGAGGAGAAATCATGTGGTAGACGTGAAGAAGTGACAGTTTTCTCAGGGGTGGGCGCCCGAGATGTGCAGGAGAAGCAGGTTTCTCGGGCGAGCCTACAGGGTCGTTTGGGAGGAGGCGAGGTCAAAGGACAAGGAATCGTGTGGTACTTTAAAATGAAAAAAATAGAGGTGTGGCAGTTTTGCTTATATGGCACACGTGTGCCAAATATCATAGTCCTTATAAAATCCATCTTGTATTATGAAATCACTATCTTGTTTTGTCAGTGAAAGATTGGAAATGGTTTTCATTTGGCCGATATTGTGTCTTTCAGCTGTTTGTGGATCAACGATTTAAAGAACCACAGAGTTGGAGGTGAATTGCCGAATTACTAGCTACAGCACATGTTTGGTTGGTCCAAGCGTCAAACAAATGGAATGAGAAACTGAGAATGTAATAATACGACTACCGTCTTTGAAATACAAACAACATAGTACGCAGTCAGTAGCAGAACACGAGAGGAATGGCGATCAGAAGTACCTACCTACCATGTCGAAGGATTCAGGCGGCCAAGAAACCACGGGCCTTGCAACGTAGCTCGCCCCTCTGGCGAACACACACATACGCATCAGAGGAGCGCTTCCCAAGCATGGTCTACGTTCCCACCCGGACTCTCGAAGGCAACCGTCGCGGACTCGCGGTCCAAGAAAAGACATCCGGGTCGGCATTCCGCCGAACGGCCTGAGCGCTCTGCTGCCGACGCGGACGGCGCTGGGCAGAAAGGACCGGCATTGCGTCGGAGAAATAGATGCACGCGTGCGCGTGGAACGGAGCGAACGTGGCAGAGACGATGCGGTGGGAGCACGGCGGCGTGAGATGAGGAGAAGGCCGGTGAGAATGGAGGAGTCGCGACTCGCCGGGAGAGAGGAGCGCGGGAGTGTTTTCTCGCCTACTGCGAGACAGAGTAAGAGCGCGCCATGAGCCGGCCCAATTCGGGTTCCTGCCGGGCCGGGTTTTAGGCTTTCAGCGCTGTTCTTTTTTCGTGCGTTTTCTAAGGTGGTTTTTCATCGGTTTTCCTGCGCCGTCGGTTTTCTGTATTTTTCTGGCGGGTCTCTTAAGTTTTTTTTTTCTGAACATCACCTCATATATTAATTAACCAAATGACGAGTTACAATCGTTCATTACAGAGTTCACCACACAGGGCGGTACATCATTAACAAAAATCCCATTCACTCTATTATCAAAACTAAACTTAGCTATTAGATGGGCCACCTCATTAGCCGAACGCCTAATCTTTGAAACTCTGAAGCTATCCATTAGCTTAGAAATACCCCAAGCTTCTTTCTTCAGATCGTGCAGAGCAGATCTATCATCAAATTCGTTTGTAAAAATCGCCGCAACAAAAGCGCAGTCAGTCTCTAAAATTATAAAAGAATGAAGTGTTATACCTATTAAGTTTTCTTGGTTTTACTTTTTCCTATTTATTTTGGAAAACACTAACAATCAGCCGGCGGATCGCTCGGCCGCATTCGTTGCGTGCTCCACTTGCCACGTGCTTTCTTGAGGTGCACACTCAATCTATTCCTCTAAAACCAGAAGCATCGTGTGTTCGTTGCCGTGAAGTGCTTCCAACAAGTGATATGTTGCAATGAGGTTCTGCAATAGAACCTATGTTGCAAAAAGATTCTGAAAAAAAATGTTTAGAAAAAAGAATTCGCAACAAGACTTTTGTTGCAAAAAAAAAAACTGCAACAGGACCACTGTTGCAGAAGTTTTTGCAAATGTTACACAAGTTTCTACAACATGACCTCTCTTGCAAAAAGTTCTGCAACATAGTCATTGTTGTAATTGTCAAGACGAGGTAGATCGAACAGCTGTCGAGGCCGCGGATCTTTTAAAATGATCTGCCGGACGACGCGTAGCATAGCCCATTTATTTTTCATTTTTTCATGGCTTTCTATACCGATTTTGAATGATTTTCTGTGTCAATTTTCAATGGTTTTCCCTCTTTGGGGTTTTTTTTTTGCTTTCTGTTTTCTTTACTAAGGTTTTCAGTTTATTTTTTATTTTGTCAACCAGTGTTTATTTTAACATAACAATTGTATACTAGTATTTTCTAGATCTGGAGAATTTTCTGTAAATGCTTAATATTTTCCAAATTCGTGATAACATTTATTAGAATATATGTTCTGCTGTCAACCTTTCTTCGCACGCAATGTACATTTTTTATATGCCAGAAACATTATTTTATACATGTTATATATTTTTAAAATACATGATTAACAATTATTCAAATACACGTTTTCAACATTTAAAAAGTAGGCGTTAAATAAAATTAAATACATGTTCAACCATTTTCTTAATGAAATTAAACATTTTCAAAAGTACACAGACATTTTCATACATTTTATAAACCCTTATCTAAAAATATCGCGAAAATATTTTTGAAATGTCTGAACATTTTTCTAAATGCAACATACAATTCTTTTTGAAGGGTATGAAACATTATTTTAATTACATGGGAAAAAATTTACACTTTATTAAAAAATCTAATTGTCAATTACATTTTTCTGAAACGCATGATTTTGAAAAACAAAATTTATAACATTTTTTTGAATGATATCATCATTTTTAATTACGCTAAATTTGTGTACACTTCTGTAAAATTTTAAATTCACGAATTTTAAAAGTAAATTATTGTTTTGGAATACATGTATTAAGAATATTCTTGAAAATATGAACAAAATAAAATAATAATAAACCACATTAACTGTTAAGGCATCGGTTTTTGTTATCGGCATGCAAAGCTTCAAACCCTTTTCCTGCTAGGGTTCAGAAATCTTATATTTTCAATATCCATATACCATTGATTCCTTGGGATTCTAGAATCTGCCTATTTTACTAATCTTCCAAAACGAATAACTCTGAACCAAGAAGAGTTGGATATGTTATGTATGGTATGTTTTTTTATTAATTTTATTTTGAGGGATTTGCACCCCTAATTACGCAGAAGTGCAAACTCAGAAGTTGATGGCCGGACCTTAGCAACATACTAAAAAAATTGTATTCTATACTGGGGTTTGTGCTCTTGACAAACAATGTTTCCAGTCTAGTCGTGTCAAATTGGGTTTGAAGTGTCCTTCTAGGTC